AAAGTGTACAAAAAATTAGTAAAATTTTTATATATAAATATATTTTTATACTATAATTATTATTTAAAAAAATCTAAAAATAATAACAATCAAAACTTGCTGCTGTGGAAGAATCACACAGCAAAAATGTAAAAATGTAAAAAGTGTGTCAGTCATTTAGGAACAGAAACTATCATCTAGCTCAATCATGAAGGGGTTAAATAAACAAAACATCTGCTTGTTTGAGCCACTAACTAAATCCAGGTGAGTTCCTAATTGCTAACTAACAGTGTACCCCGTGGGTTTCCCACAACAAATAGTCAGTACTTGTTCCTTTTTACTGATCTATCAGCACTCAGGCTTTTTATACAGCAGAGAGAGCAAGAAAGAGAGAGCCCCGAGCATCAGTCAGCTCACATGTAGAAAGGCCTTTTTACAGCTGAGACTGATAGGGATGTCTTTACCCCATTAAAAAAATCTATAAAGCTTCTGTATTGCATTGTATTGTATTACATTGTATTGTTTCTTCCCAGCTCTATATTATTTCCTTCTAATCTTTTTTGCCTTTTTGTTTTTTTCTAATTTCTGTAGTGAAGACTCTTTTTTTTAAAGTGCATGCAATGTTGTATCACAATTTTAAACAGAACAGTTGTTTTATGAAACTTAAGCTAATGGCAGAATGTTATGAATAATTTACCTGGACACAACACAGAAAATAAACGCACATCAACATTATGACAAAGAAGGATAACCGCTTTAATAACCCCATGATACATGCCTGATAGCCATCAATAAAGAAAAAAATATTTTGTGCCAGTATTATTTGTTATCTGAATGAATCAAATGAATGAGGATATAATACTGCATATTTCCTTTGGCACATCACACTTTGTCTTCCTTGCTACTTCTGCTATTTTATTGTATGCTGTGCCATTGCTCGGCTGTCAGCAGGCACCTCCTTTTGTTTAACAGAGCTTGCTTTTCAGCAGTAGACTAAAAAAGTTATGGCTGAATGAGACCATTCTTAATAAAGCTAGTAGGTAAAGGTCAAGTGATAGCGTACACAGGCTACCTACAATGATTCAATTATATTGCCCCTTTTACAAATCTATACTAGATTGAAAAAAAACAAAAGATAAAAAGATAAAAAAATCTAACGTCCTTAGAAACGGAAAGGCCGCAGATAATGTGCTTTACCAATTTTATTGTGATAATAGTGTCAATAAGCACAGATCGGCATGCTATTGTAAAACAGCTTATCAGAAAACAAATCACCTGGCCAGATACACAGAAGATAATCCCTAATCTAACCCTAGAGGGTCTACTTTATATCCCCTGCCTCCAAGCACTGCAGTTTCCAGGACAACATATGTATAGATAGTGTAGTACAGAACAACAGAGAGAGTTTTACATGCCACTCTAAGCTAAGGAGAAAAACAACAACATTATAGTGTGCTTGCATTGGACAAAAGTAGAATATATGTATACAACCCAACTAAGGGAAATCAGCATGCTGTATATGCTTAATAGGTACTGTTATAGGGTTAACAAAGGATGTAAAAACAGGAAATTAAACTGAATCACAAACACTTTTCATTCCTGTCTTCTATTTTTCATAATTATTTCTGAGTTGTGGAATTCAGAGACATATTAAATAGTATTAAACCCAGTAACAAAAATGTGATATATTGCCACTTACTAAGGATGAGTAAATTTACCCCAGTTTGATGAGTGGCCCATTTGTTCCTTTTGTGGGGTTAATAAGCAATATTGTCAAAAATATGAAGGAAGCCGTACATGGTTTAGAGACAGTGTACTGTGTCCCGTCGCTGTGGAATTTATTTTGTTTTTACTTACAAACATCAGTACCCTATTCTGATTCATTCAAAAAATATGTTTTAACAGCAACATGTGTTACTAAGGACAACATTGCCATCCAACTGCTCACTGCACCTATACATTATGATTTAGTTTTGGGAAGGATGGAAAGACAACTGGAAGCCTGTCAGCTTCCTCCTCCACTCTAGCCCCACCAACCCTTCTCATCTTTAGCTTAATGATGGCACCATCTGGCAGCACTGGCACACATGCAAAAGTTGATGTCATCTCCAAACTGGGAGTACACAGTGCAACAGCCTTGCAGGATTTTTTGGGGAGGTGAATGGAATGCCTAGTGGTAGCGTGCTGCACACAAAGGGGAGCTCAAGCGCCTGTTCGAAAACAAGTGTATGCTGTACATTTCAAGCTAAAGAAAGGCCTTAGCATGGCAAAATCAACTAGAATATGACCCATATACAGTGTATATATGTGTAGTGAATAGATCCACTATTGCTATGGGGACAAAAATGTCACCACAATATGCCAATCTCTTCATGGCTAACCTAGAAAACAGATTCCCAGCCACTCACCCTCATAAACCATTCAAATATTATTGTTATATTGACGATATTTTCGTAATATGGACAGAAGGAGAAGAAAATATTTTAAACTTCCATGAATCATTCAATTCATTCCATCCATCCATCCATCCATGACATTTAAAATGAATTTCTCAGTACACAGTGTGTTTTCTCTGGATTGTGCCATAACTGTCAGCAATGGCTCACTCTGTTCTTCTGTGTGCAGAATACCCACAGACAGGTACAGCTACCTCCATAATTCCAGCTTCCATCCTAATCACACTAAACAGGGTGTCATCTACAGCCAAGCAATCCGATACCACCGCATTTGCTCTGACACTGAGGACAGAAACAAACACCTGAGCACTCTGGCTGATGCCTTTCGCGAAAGGGCTATAGAGAAAAAAGACTACAAAAATTAAATCTGCCCTAAGAACACCACGGGAATTACTGCTACAGTACAAAGAGAAGAAAAACCCAACCAGGACCTCTCTTGTAGTTACCTACAACCCTACTCTAGAGGTAATATACAAAATTATCAAAGATCGACAGCCAGTACTCTCAGAAGACCCCATACTTAAAGAAATATTCCATCAGCCCCCAATACTGGCTTTCAAGCAACCACTGAACCTGAGAAGAAGATTGATACGCAGTAAGCTGACCCCAGAACAGGCACTTACACAGAATGCCACAGTACAATGCAATAAACCCCACTGCAAACTTTGCCAACATATATATGTCACAGGAATACAGCGAGTCAAAATAACAAAGCGTACACCATTAAGGGGTCATACTCATGCACATCTGCTAATGAGGTGAACATGATACAGTGTTCAGAATGTGACAAAGGTTGTTACATTGGGGAAACTGGCCTTAAGCTGCAGCTCAGGATGAACCTACACAGGAGCTTGATCAAGAACCACAAAGAGGATGAATATTGCATCCCAGTAAGACATCACTTCTCCCAGAAGGATCACATCATCCAAAACCTCAAAATTAAAGTACTAAAAGGGAATTTAAAAACTCTCACGAAAGGAAAACATTTGAGAATGAAAAAAAGACCCTAATAAATTACAAAGGAGGTCCATGGAGCTGTGAACACATGGGTGGGGACGGCGACAAAGGTCTATATCCCACCATATTTCAATCTACAGCATAACACTGTATAGCACAGTATAGCACTGTATCTCTCTCTATGCTTTCCCTTCACAGATTTTGTCAGGTTTCCCGAACCAGTTCCAACACACACCTACAATATAGCTGCTGGAAGCCCACCCTTTTATAAGAGAACAAAACACAAGCAAGAAGTTACCAGCTAATTTGATCATTGCTTTATTGCACTTTTAACCAATCATAAGGGTGATAACATAAGACAAAACACAAAACACAAGCAAGAAGTTACCAGCTAATTTGATCATTGCTTTTTTGCACTTTTCGAATAGACATAATAAAGTGTTCTCAATGGTATATTTAACCAATCATAAGGGTGAGAACATAAGATACGTTTGTTGTTAGGGTTTTTCATGCACCTTAAGACTAAACTTTCATTTAATATGTTCAAAAAAGCACATGTCTTCATCAGAAATATAATCCCTGTGTTCATCCAAGCTTCACAACATAAATATCACTTACTTGAATGCATTGGCATCTCTGTGGACTTTGTAGTTGTCAGCGCTAATTCTGGATATGATCCTGGTTACCGCAATGAGTATACCAATATTCACCTGGTAACAGAGAAAATAAAACATTTTAAGCACTGTGACATTTTTTGATGATTAAAATGATGATAAAAGGAAAGAAAGTTTAAAATGAAGTTTTATAACATTCTGGGGGTTCTTTTACTAAAATAGTAAAGAAAGTTAACTGAAGAATAAAGTAAAGCTTTGTACAGGGGAATGGGAAAACATAACAGGATTTTCATCAAAGCGTCACTTTATTCATTAGGCTAAACAAACATTCTCTTTGCTTAAAGAACATTCTCTACTCCTTTATTCATTCCAAATGACATATTTTAACTGTATTTAACATCATTAGGGCTTGTGGACATAGGCATTTGTTTGCATGAAAACATGTTTTTCTTGCCATAGAAGTCAAAAAGCAAATGCAGTTTAAAAGGTCAGGAACACCGTCAAAGTATCTCTGAAGGAATTTTGAAATATCTTATACTAATCTCAAAGGCAAGCAAAATAGACCTGAAACAAAATAGACACCTGCACAAGCCCTAAAAAAAAGCCTTGCTATGCTACAGGAAATACTCAATGCAAGTTACTGATAAATTTCCCTAATTTTATTTATATAATTTTTTTTAATATTAAATACGTGGTGGTTCATTTTAGAAGATGGCATGTGATCACAAGGGATGAGTGAAGTGATTTTGGCACAATTTGATGCAAAATTAGCTATTTCACCAACAGTGACATTTTGCAGAAGTGAAAAGGTTTTATGGTATATGTTTTAGTAGGCTAGTTTATTTCACTTTCTGTGTTTGATTTGTTGTGGGTTTTTTTCCTTACTGTTATTTGTGTATTGCCTTTTTTGCTGTCCCTTTTTTCCTATTGTGGAAAAAAAGGTTTATGGGGGCTATTCCTTAGTACAAGGACAAGTCCACTCAGGAGCCCTTAAAAGTCCATTGCACCCTCCAAACAACCAAAACCCACCATAATGACACCTTTCCTTTTGACTTTAATCTATTCTACAAAACAGTGAAATTTCACCTAAATCTCATGATTTTTGCAAAAAGTGTGCTAAAAAACAAAACCTTTCAGTGTTGCCCATCTTTAGTGTTTCCTAGTGAAAAATACCATTGATTACACTGCATTATATGATGGTTGGGCATGCACCTAACAATAGGGAATCAAATATTAGAAGTGGTTAGTTTTGGATAGAGTGGGGAATGGTTAAAACCCATGCCAGGTGGATTCAGTTAAGTATTCTAGTCACCTGATTTCCCCCCACCTCCCCCTAACCACACTGATGGGGAACCCAATGTTCCCACCGGCGGTAGAGTCACCCTCAGCTTTCACTTGGTGGCAGGAACAGGGGTATACCCTGATGTACCATTTTCATTATAGTTCTGCCTATATTGAACACCCTCTTTGGGTTTTCTGCATTATACTGTATGTAATTCTATGCAAAAATTCAAAATAAAGAACATTTTTGAGTAAAAAAAAAAAAAACACTGAAAAAAAACAAACCCATGCCAGGTTTCTTTTGCTGTATGTGTCACGTTGGAATTATCCCTTGCCACTTCCTGTCCTAAAGCCACAACACTCCCTAAAGTAAGAGGAAATAATTTTTCTGTATCAACGATAATGGTCACCAGGTCAAATAGAGAGAATAATTCTTCTCAGAAGGGACAAAGACAGGAATTCAATCTTGAAAGGACAATAACTGCCCCTACTCCATCCAAAACTAAAAACAAATGTTTTGGCCAGAGATACATTTGAAGCCCAAAGTTCAGTTTTGAATATTGTGGCAAAGGTTTTTTATTGTTAACTATGTTCCGATTTGAGAGATTTGCTCAAATAACAGGGTGCCACAGTATTTGAATAGGAAGTGATTAGAAATATATCTATTGGGGATAAAGGTCACAAGAAAACAATTATTTTAGCAAAATAGGGAAGGATTAGAAAATCTGTTACATTTTTATTTCTATTGTTATCAAATGGCCTGGCGACACATTCCCCTAACTTCTTGTCATGGGGTCACAGGTGCAGAAAAGGAAAGTGAACCTTCCAAGTGTAAAAACCCTTCCATTCAATACTGTATCATCAACTTAAAAAAATATTAGTGAATGGAGCTAATTGCTAAAACCTCTCCAGAAATCTGATACTTTTGTGATATGATATATACTTTCAAAACAAAATAACCTTGAAAAGCACTAGAGATATCTTCAAAACATCTCTATTCTTGAAGCTATAAAGCAGCTCTCACTGCCTTTGCTGCCTTTGAATCAGAGGGAGAATAGAAGTATGTTGGATTTTAGTGAATATTAAGAAGAAATGCTGCCAAGAATATAAAGAAAACATGTATAAAAGTACAATCCATTTACACTTTCCACCAGCAAATGCACACCTTATATTTGTTTTTTTTTTCTTCACTACAATGTAGCTCTTGAATCCAGAAGGAGAAATATTATACGGTGCATCATACTTACTGCAAGTCACACTGTGTGATGTCTTACCATTGTTCTAGTAAATATAATATTCACAATGCTGCAAATACTGCAGAGAACTCTTTAAAGTTTACCTGTCATGACAGACGTAGCTGCTCACCTTCTCCTAATTCCTTTTCTAGGTCTCTAGCTTTCCCCATGAATGTGATACCTAATTTAAAAAAACACAGGAGATGGCCCATGCGTTGCTTTAATTTTTGGGGGCATTTAGCAGACAATCAGAGAAGGAACCTGTTATAATAAAAGGTGGCCAATCAGTAATATGTGGTCAGTTAAGTAATGTTTTTATTTTTGCAATGAACAACTTTGACAAACTTTAGTAAATGCACCAGTTTTTTAGGGTATACACCATATCAGTCTGGTTATTATAGTGACCTATACAAAGCTATTAAAAAATTCCCCAACAAAATTGCAAGCTAGGCAGCACAAAAAAACGAAACAGTTTAAACTGAGATTTTTGGTGTGTATGTTTAGAAATACATGAAAAGACACACTGTTGCATCAAGGTACCTCTGTAAGGTGTTGTGCCAATGACCAGTTCAGTATCCAATAATGGGTGTAGTGCATGAAGTAGGGAGGATGGGGGATGCGATAATGGGCCCCACTACACATTCACTCACTGTAAACTTTGGGGCAGTGATGACCAACACACCACCCACGGGACGAGTGTGGCTCACCATGTGGTGAGATGGGTCCCCCACCAGAAGTCCAAGCAAAAGCAGCACTGCCCACTAGCTCTGACTCCTGTCAGCTGTGCCCAGTGGTTTTGCCCATTGCCAAAGAATGTTCCAACCCCCAGCTTGCAATATCAGTGTATTGCATGCTAAGCCAGCTGTGGTGCCGAGTGTGTATGCAGACAGGAAGATGTTGTGACATTGTGGTTCAGATCAGTAGGATCCTGTGACTGAGTCCATTTTTTCATGGACAACTGTGAGTGTGTGTGCGTGTTTATGTAACCGCACTAACCACCATGCAAGGGAAAAGGAGTTCATTAAGGACTCAGTGCATTTTAGTGAATGGCAAAATATCCCCCAAATGTCCAACTGTCACTAAACTGTCAGGGAAGTGATAACCCCCAATTTTACTCATCCATAAATAAAATCAGGAGAGTCACTTGTTGCTGTAAGGCATTTTTGGCCAATGTTCTCTTGGGTGGGGATAGATTGATTTTTACATCTAGTTGATACTGTGTCAGAGACAATTTCTTCAAAACTGAATGTTCAGTGTTCGGTAGATGCTAATTACAGTCATTCAAATATTTGAGAAACTAAGTAAATAATATCAGTTTTTAACTTATTTTCTTTATATGGAAATGTGCAGAGCAATTACATCTGTTCCCTATTTCCCATCTAAAAGATCTTATATAACCAAAACGTTTTTGAATAAAATTATTAATTTTCATGATTAGAAGTGACCAATCACACTGCTGTTTATCCAGTTTGGGCCTAGAGTTGAAGTAGGTATTTCTTGTCTGCTTCTGAACTCTTTTCATTTCAATTCTCCTACTGACCACCTTCATCTATGTTGTGTTCTCGCTGTGGTGTATATCATTGATTGATGATACATTCACAAGGGCAAGTTCAACATGAAGAGTGAGAAGTGAGTCAGCCACAGAAATAGAGAATATGTCAACAACAGTTATTAATTGGATGGATCCTGAACGCAATAGGATACAACTAATTAATATGTTTACCGTAATAATAAAAATGTCAGCGCTGTATCAGTAAAAGGATCAAAAACAAGCCCACAGAGAAATATGTGACATTTTTATGTTTAAAATCAATTGTTTGTGCTATGGAGTATATTGTATATTAAGGTGTCTGGCAATGTGCAAATGGTTGTACTTCTAGAATCTCACAGTAAATAGAAAAGATGCATCTTATAATAAAAAAAAAATAATCATAATTAGAAATTCAGTATTGCTCTTTACGACGCATACCTGAACATCAAACAAAACCACATTTATAGCAAACAGTTATTGAATACAGTACCTAATGAACTAGAAACACCAAAATAATTTCTCCCTTGACAATGAGAAGCAAATGAACTTCAATTAGTCGAGGGATATTATGCGAAAAAGACACGGCTGCTCTACCCAATTACTTTGTGTCCCCTCCTCACTATGTAAGAAACATGCCAATAGCTGTGGTAATAAAGATGATATAACACATTTCTATGTAATTTACTATGCAGGAATAATTAAACTAGCATAATGCTTTCATGTATCTGTAAGTAAGCCTTGATCCTCTTCACTAAGCTAGGAAGAGTATGCTGTATACATATGCAAGCTGTAAATTAGATAAACATAGTGCAGAGTAGTAAAAAAATTAATAGAGATGCAGGATAATTAACTAATTTTCTTCAAAAATTTGGGCTGAAGGATAGCCAGCTTTTAAAACACAATTGTTAATCTATCCAGGGATACCAAATGGCTTTACAAATATATACAATAGCTCTGTTTGTCTACTAAAGTAAAACTACAATCTCACAATAATTTTTTGTTTTGAAGAGCACTGTGAGTTACAAAGTGTGCTCCAAGGGGGCTGAAAA